CACTAAAGTTTTATCAAAGCTGAGTGTCCTGTAGTGGATACTGGAGAAAAGTCTACAATTCAAAACAAGGTATCTTCAATAAAACCCATTCTTTTGGATATAATGCAGGGAAGAGAAATGTGTTACCAGGTCACGTTTTCAAGATGTTGGAGCTTATGGGATTAGCATCTCTCTAATTATCTGACTTGCTAATATCTGAAACTGTGGAGCTTGAATACTCTAATTTTTCAGTTGCCAAGAAATGAGATATGTACAAAATGCTGGATAAAGATTGACCTGTTGAATAACAGTTTGCATTTATTGACTTACCCCTCTAATATATGTATTATTTAATCCAGTGGTTTTCATTAGAGCTGTTTAGTACTGCTGAGTGGGAACCTATTCCTGCTTGACTAGCTTTATTTGGATACCCAAAACACCCAGCCTGTCTATAATATGATTCAAGTTTTACTTAGAGTTTTACTTCAGAATATTCAAGGGCAATTCAATTGTGAGACAGGAGACAAACTCAAGTCCTTTTTTTCTTACTCTCTTAAAACAGAGGCTTAAGATATTCCTTCTGCAGTTGAGTTACTGTAATACTTCTCTAGGAAGATCTCATTTTCTTCTTCATCCTTCTCCTTACAAACTGAGTTTGGAGTTTTTATCCTCCTCTCTCATTGTTCTCATTGGGAAGCTGCTGTTAGTGAACCTTCCTGTTGTACTTCAACCTTTCAGTGAAACATGAATAATATTTTCAGAAATACTTARCTTTTTGTATCAGCACTGAAATTTTTAGCCCAGATGAATGTAGGTTAGAATAGAAACTGGAACCAATTGTTAAATAATAAGCTGTTATCGGTGACAATTTTGTCCACTTCCCAATTTTTCAGATTTTCATATGTCCATTATTTTTACAGTTTACATATTCTGTATGTTCTAGGTTACTTCAGTAACCTAGGTTACTGATTTCATGCAATTTGTTGATACATAAGAGGCAAATAATATTAGCAGATTCAAAAAGGTAAGTTCCTAGACAACAAATCTGTAACAGTTACTAAATGGAATAGGCAGAACATCTATAGCATCTATAACAACTTCTGCCAGTATTTGTCCTATTGATAATTTTATGATAAAAATCAAACATATCTTTTCCAGTCATAACAAAATTCTCGTTCTCAGAATTATCTCTGAATATTTCTATATTAGAGGAGGAAAAAATAACTCTAAACTAGGAGGAAACAGAACTATTTTGAAGGAAGTTCCTTTTTGCTAGAGTTGGTCTCGGCATATTTACTTGCAGAAGAGTTCTAATATTGACACATGGTAGGTTGTTTGCCAAGGATAGCTCTGAATTAGCTATTGATGTGGGAGATGGGAAGAAATAGCTATCTTGGGAGCAAATGGGAACGTGTACAAATGCATGTACTGTGTTGTCAAATTAGGACTAGATTRTAATCTAGATTTAAATAATTAATGAGGAATTAAATACTAAGTTACATTTTATGCATCTAGTAGGCTTGAGAATATTCTTCTACTACCACTGGAAATTCTAACCATTGTATTTTTTTCCTTAAAATGGCTATCTACTTCTTTAAAACAACAGCAAGCCTTGAAATAGGCTAGACCTTTGATGTGAGAACTGACTAAAATGTTTTCACTCTTTACATTAATATGAATGAGTATCTTTTTTTTATAGTGAAGCTCATATCAAGCACTTGCATGTAAAACACTTTCAGTTGCTATGGATCACTTTATTTTTAGGTGGAGAGTCTAACTTTGACAGAGAAACTGTTCTGTTGCAAGGTATTTTTTTTTCAACAACATTCAGTATAAATCTCTCTGGATTCTTTTTGGTAGCAATTTGCCTCCAGAGGTTGTGGGTTTCCATGGTGCCTAATCCTTATTTAGCAGACACATTTGGTATTTCCACACAGCTGTGGAATGGCAGCAATGGCCTTCTGTTCTGCTTTCCTGCTTCCAGTGCAGATTCTCTATCTGTGACCTTAAAACATACTGGCTACTTTTGAGGGCTTCTTCAGAGATGTAGCAAAACAACCCACCGCACCCTTGCAAAGGAGCAGGACCTGTGAGGGAATTCCCATTTGTGAAGTGAGGGCATCATGGAGGAAAAATTGCCTAGATCTGCTCTGTGTACCTAGGTATATCTGTAGGCTTTGGTCAGCTAATGTTTTAGTCAGCAAATGATTAAAATCCTTGATCAGAAAAGGATTAAAAGCAAAAGTTGCTGAAATTTGCAGGACTTTTGTGTTTTGCCTGTGTGTACTGAAGTACCTTATAGAGTCTTATAACTTCGTACTTTAATGTAGCATTTATTCCCTTGAAGGCTCTCAGTCTAACATGTTTAGAGAGCTAAATTTTGAAGGGAGCTCATTGTCTGTGGTCACTACCGTATATTTAAGGAGAGAAGGTACTTGGTGAACTGCAAATAGCTTTCAGGRCACAGAAATTCAAAGTTTTCATCAGCAGGGCTTTACATTACAGCAGGAATTTGTGGACAAGAGCATAATCTTGTTGTAAATCCGTGCTTCAATAGAGAATGAAAACTGATGTTGAGAAGAAAGCCATAATGTTTTTCCCTTCTCCTGATGAACAGGAAGCTTGCAGCATTTCTTCAGTAGGAGGGTTTATCCATCTCTTCTAATCTTGTAATCCCTGTCTAACTGCACTTCCATAGTGTTTATATTTGTTTTAAAGGCCTTTCTAAAAATACACAAGTAGCCTATACCTCCCTGAAAATGTAGAGACAATGTTATTTTGAATAAAGTATGATCTACTTTAGTTCCTCTTTTTTACTTAAAATTTAGTGTTATACCTGTGACTGTAGAGTTTTCATGCATTACATTGATTAGAATACAGTTTGCATAAACTCATCTTAGATCAAAAGTGGATGAGCCAAATTTCCTGAAGTGTGGTGTCATTGAAAAGGCTAGAAAGGAAGACATGAGTGCTTAAGGTCAAGGCAGAACTATCACTACATTTGTGTGTTTAAAAAAAAAAAAAAAAAAAATTGCCTAAGCCATCAGTGTCAAGATCATCTTATGGCAAAGGCATAAATGAAAATAGAGAAGGAAAGCTAGATGCCTTTTCGTGCAGCAGAAAATACATTGAGGAAACAAGATATGATGTGAAAATAGCTTTTTTGCTTTGAGGGACAGGGGGGAGATCTATATAGTACGTCTAATGTATTGTTGAAATTATGTTGCAGTAGTCATTTATATGATATGATTTCCATTTTAGCAAATGGGAAAATAGAGCAACTTTTAAAAGAACATGCTTAAAATGGGGGAGCAGAAGCAGGCTGCGCGCGTGTGTGTCRCTTCTGTAGCTCGCGCTGTTGGGATGATAGGAGATAACACGTGCGGCTTTAATCCATGCGAGCAGAGGAGGGCTGGCTAAGCCTGCGGAGTCTGATGCAGTCTAGCTGCCACTGGAGGTGTCACAGTATATCCTCTTCCTGCACTCGCCTACGAATCTGACATATTTTATCAATTTGTCTTTTTTGCCACTTCTGCAATGAGGCAATTGATCAGAAAGATGCAAGCTSAGGTTATAAAAAGAAACAGATATTTGTAGTTCCCCAAAAAATCACAGGCTGGGCGGAAGTGAAAAGTGTAATCAGAGAATGGCATCTTCTTTCTGCTTGAAACCTTTATTTCTGAAAAGCTTTAAGAGGAAAATGGTGCCCAGCCTGCCCTGCAGCTAAGGGCTCCCACGCTGCAGAGCCATTCGTTGTGGTTCCCGTCCTGTTGCAGGACAGCTGTTGCTGTCAGCCTCCACATCGGGTTGCTTTGCAAATCCTTATTTGCAGAAACAAAAGAAAGGACTTAAGGATCTCCTCCTATTATTTATTTTTCTCAAATAATTATTTTCAATAAAAAGGAAATACTAAAAGAAAAGTGACTCTATTACCTTTCTTTTTTTCCTCCGTGGTATTTTGCTGCTGGAAGATCTGAAAATGTGAATGCGCAAAGACTTTCAAACCTCTTCTGGAAGAGAGTATTGAATTACTGGTTGAGAGATCCTGTTTGGGATGTCGGCTGAAGAGAGTCTAAGTAAAAAGACATGTGAAGGAAATTAATGTTTTCCTCTTCTGATTGTTTTTCCTCTGGTCCTCTCTAACATCAACAGTTCTTGATGTTAGAAGAGCTGTTGCTGCTCTATGTGAGTTTGAATATTGAAGCTTTGGAAGTGCCCTGGATTAGGTGCCTTTTGCAAGTTTAAGTAGTCTGACTCTYGAACCTTTAATGCTCTGTAGCTAGAGGGCTGAGAAAGCAGAAAAAGAAGGCCGTTTAGCTGGAATATAAATAAATATACTGAAATATGTCCTGTTTTTAATGTTCAGCTGACTATACTGCACACAGCCTGATACGTGAGGAAGTCTGCTCTGCATGGTCTAAAAATGGCTTTCTAGAAAGCTGACTATTACCAGTGAAACTGGGCTAGCTGCAGGAAAACCCTCTTGAAAAGAACAGTCAGATGGAGGTAACAGAAGAAAATGCCTTTGAGCCCTGCTCTTAAAATAGTGTGTGGGGGAGCCGGRGAAGGTGGTAATTTACAGTGGCCTGTAGCTGTTTAAGAGGTCCTGGGAATTATTTTGGCCATAACCTTGGCAAAAGCTGCTCTGCTGCAGTTATATAATGGCTCACTTGCAGTGAGGGGGATCTGAACTGTGAGCTCTTCCCGCTCCCTCAATTAAAAAACGTGGGCAGAGTAGGGTTACTATTGAAAAAAATAATTTTAGGTAAGTTTTGTTAACTTTGAATGTTAAATCCTGAGAAAGTGTTCAAGTAATGCTTTGAAACAGACCTTTGCTATTCCCATCCGAGTGCATTACCTTGTTCTCTATGGAGAGGAAACTTCCCTGCTGTCTGTCAGGCCTCTGCTCCCYCTGTCTCCAAAAGCAACGTGGGGTTTGGGCCAGGCTGAGCGGGAGGGAGGCCGAGGTACCTGCGCTCCCAAGGGCTCAAGAGAAGCKGTCGCCCTGCAGAGAGGGGCCCATGCCCTGGGAAGGCCAAGCAGGAGAGCTGGTCTACCTGCCAGCCCACTTAGCCACCTACCTGCCTGACTGCCTCCTGGCTGGGAGAGCAGGATTCTGGCTCGCAGGGTGAGTCTCCCGGTCCCAGCAGAGTCTCCAGGAAGTCCCTGAGAGGACCTGGGGCTACTGCCCCATTTTAGTAATAACGACGCCGTGTCCCGTAAGGAGGGCGTTGTGAGTTCTCTTCAAGCAGCTGCACTAGTGTAGCCACGCTGCTCTTCAGGGTTTCCGAGAAACACACACAGTGAGTGGCAACATAAATGGGAAAGCTTTCCCCCGATATAAATCATTCAAAATAATGTCCAGGACTGGGTGTTTTCCGGATGCGCCTGGCCAAAGGGCACAAAGGGCTCCTTTGAAGTCTGGAGCGGGGAATTTTTCCGTTTTCTCCGCGTGGTGGCTGTTACAGCTGACTGCCTTATTRCTTCTCCTGAAGGAAAAAAACATCCTATTTGGATGTTCTCTTCCCAGCCTCTTATCACCTCTGTCACTTGTAACTGTGGTGACTTTTGGAGGATTTTAATGAGRCGTTTCCAGGCAAGCAGGTAGAACAGACACCATTAATTCCCCTGCGAATGGAAAAGTGCCTGTTGAACAGGTGCCGATTCTTTGATGCACAACCTGGTGTTGGTCTCTTTATGTATGCCTTTGTTTTGGTGGAAGATCAAGCAGCCCTCACTGAAGGAGAGGACCAAAGGCAGGAAGAATGGCCGTTAGGGACACCGCCCTTAGCTAGACTCCTTCCACCCCTCATAGACCAAATAGTTGCAGTGGGGTAAGCCAAACTCCCCACACATTCCAGATGAGGGTGTACCAGCCATTGCTGTAAAAGTATGCCAGCAATTTTGTTATTGCTCATCTGCTTCCTAATGAGACGTCACCTTTTTTTTCCCTTGACCTACTTGACCTTTTCAAAATCAGGCCCCCTCAAGCATATTAAGTTAGTTTGAAGTGGTTTGGGTTTCCCCCGCCCCCTCCAGGACTTATCCACTCTGAACAGCTCTGCACATTTCTCATCTGTTTGCTAATATTTTGGGCTCATTGGTTAAATGACCTGATTGCTCTGCTTCCCTGCCCTTTCCATACTCCCTTTCATTGCCTGGGCTCTGCTTGGTTGTGTGTGTGYGCCCGTATGCACGCGTATGGATTTAGTTAGAGATAAATCAGGGCTACAGATACTTGAATCCAGTATTTGCAGAGGGAATTTTAGAAAAATGGTTTWAAGCATTTAAACTTAATGATTAGGTTGAATCAAAATCACAGCTTAAAACTAGAYGATTTTGTCACATGTGAGAAATTATATGAAAACTTTATGAAGTTGCTCTGCTAATTTCTTGTGAAATATTTTGCATCTTCTCTAGAACTGTTTTTTTCAACTTACCTGCCTGTTGTTGAATGAAATGTCTTATTTCCTTGTTATTCCTGCTATGATCTTGAGTTTATTGTTGGAATAAATAAGCACAGAATCTGTAACCTGCAGAGCTTTTATATTCTCTGGTTTCAAAGGCATTTTTATTGGCGTATACCAATAGTTAGTAAGACTTATTTAGCACCCTCTCTTCTGAAAGTAATTTTATAATCTTAATTATATTTTGCCTAWTACAAAATTAATGTAGATGTATCCTTAGTATTCTAGTTACAGGTAGGAAGACAATATTCTTTAGGATCCTCTTAAAAGCTTGTAAGTTAAAGCATTAAGGGGTGCTTCAGTAGCTATTGTCTAGATACGCTTTGTCTAAAATTAATGCTTTTGTAACATTTGATTTCTGTGTTTTAGCTACATGAATAGTTTTTTAGAAAAAATCAGAACCACTTTTAAAAAAACTGCTAGTTACCAGGTTTGAACTTGAGGGTTTTAATTATTGTGCTGGCTTATTCTATTTCTCATTTTCCCATGTGATTTACTGGAAGTGTCCTCTGAAAACTGCATTTAAAAGAAGAAAGAGCAAGAACTTAAAGGTGTATCTAGAGGAAAGATTTCCTCCAGAATGTAAGGAAGGCAGAATGCTTTGAAAGCCTCAAAACTGGAATGGAGAAGCTACCTGACAAGTTATATGAATATAAAAATCCCTGTTATGGAAATGGAATCTTATTTGTTGATTTTTTTCTCTAGATAAGCATTAAACTATATTGCATTAATTTATTGTGTTTTAAAGTGGGTTAATGTATTTCACAAATGTATTTAAGAGAAGCTTTTTGTAATATTTTTAAAAACCTTCATGTAAAAGAAAGTATTTTAAACCTAGTGTGTTCTAATATAGAAGATATTCAAAGGCAGGGTTTTTGGCTCCCCGGAACACAGCTGCATAGAAGTAATCCATTTCTGGAAAAAAAATCCATGATCAAGCTTATCCGATTTAATTGGACTATTTGCAATAATCCAGTGCTAATTTATAAATATTTTTGTTGAAGAGAAATTTTTATTATAAATTTGAAAAGGATTCGTTAGGCACACAAATGCTGTATAAATAATATAGAGTGTGCCTTAAAAGCTTGTTTATGTTCTTTTCAGCTTCACAATGAGGATGACCCTCCAGAGCCTTCGGCAGCAGCKCAACCCTCCACTTCGGCAGAGGCTGCGCAGCCACCGCCAGCAGCCGCCGCCTCGGGAGCGGACGCGGCCCCGCCGCCCTACTGCAGCATAGCCGTAGAGGCGGCAGCAGCAGCAGCCCCAGGTATCTTCCCTGGCTCCAAACGGCTGGTTGCAGCAGCGGGGTGAGAAGCAGCGCCCCGTCCAGCCTGCCGCCCTGCTGCAGCCCCCTTGCCCTGCTCGCTGTTTCACTCCTTGCACTACACAGGAGTTTTCCTGCGCTGCCCTCTGCCCCACGTGTTCGGAGGCAGCAGCCTCCTGAGTCACGCTGGTTGCCCCGAATTAGCAGGCTAATTGAATGGTCAGTAATTAGTGAGATACTTGGGTTTTTATTTAAGTCTGCCTGTTAGCTCTGTTCCACATTTATTCTTGGCGGCTTAAAGCAGTGCTCTGTAATAGAGCTCATTAGCCATTTTGATGCCTTTATAAGAAAAGGACGTCTTACCAAGCTCAGACTCCTTAAAGGCACATGGCATATTTGGTGAAAATACTGCCATGAGAAGATGGGCTTTTTTTTTTTTTTAATTTCTAATTTTATCAAGTTTTAAAATAAAGTATATTGTGCTTTCCCCTGGCCCCCCACCTCCACACACACTCTTTTCACTCCTCCCTTTCTCATTTGGGATTGAAAAGACTTAAACCGGTACTTGAATATTACCTCCTTTAAGTAGTGTGCCTACTAGTGTGCTGCAGCGTCAATCCGTGCCCTGTTTTTTCATATTGATTGAGCAAGCAATTTACTACCCCCGTTCTTTCAGAAAGATGTGTTTAAGGGCATMACAAATGGGCACGCAGAATTATCCTGTGCGTTGGATCTATGTGGTATTGGCACCTGTGCTGACAAACCTTTACTAAGGAAAGAACTTATTGTAAACTCCTGTTGACTGTGGGAGGAAACTCTTTATGTTTTAAAATAAAKKTTTTTTTTATTTTTTGAAAAATGACTTTATGATCACACTTTACTGTTTCAGCATATAAAAATTATGTCTGTTTATATTAATATAAGGAACTTATCACATTCTTTGAAAAAAAAAAAGATTGAAATCTTGAAACAGTAGATTTTAGAATTGGTACCAAGACATTGCTAATAAAAAATATAGTATGATAATGACAGGACTTATTCAGTATTGATAACTAACAGCCCTTTTCAAGGTTTTCCTTTGCTTGCTTTTTGTATGATTTGATAAAACAACTTTTTGGTTAGAATATCTAGATACTCAGTTCAGCAAGTACAGTCTCTGTTCCTAAAGATATTGGCTCTTTTCAACATCAAAGTTAAGGTTTCTGCCTTGAGCAGAAGCTGCAAGCCTCCTTCAGTTGTTTGTTGTTTTGCTTAATACAGTACTTTCCTGTAGCTTGTAAGAATCTGAAGTACAAATATTTTTAACAAAGCTGAACTTCCTATGCACTTTAAAGCTCAATAGATCTGTGTGTTTAATATTTACTGTTATTGATGTTTTTCTTGTTTAAAAATACATAAACCTCTTATTTTGGACAGAAACACAGAATGGATTTTACCCTGTGCCACCTCCCTACAGTGTAGCTACCTCTCTTCCTACTTACGATGAAGCGGAGAAGGCCAAAGCGGCAGCGATGGCAGCTGCTGCAGCAGAAGTTACCCAACGAGTAAGTGATCCAGTCCTCCTTTACTCAACTTTGGGAAAGCTGACAAGGGGTTATTTATTAGAACATGAGCCATATAATGACCTATTTATTTAAAATTACGGTGTGCTAGTGATTTTATGTATTTTGRATTTTTAGTCCTTCATAGATCATGCAAGTTAGTTGCAGAATCTGAAAAGGCAAACAGTGTTCACTTCCTTCTGAGACATGACAGCTCACCAAACATCTTTAGATGCCACCTTGTGCATTGTCTTGATAACCTGCCCCCTATGGTGTCACCTTTTAAATAAGAACCCCTACTAATTCTCCTATTAGGAGTTTATGCCCATTTTGAGTTTTTCAGATGGCAATAAATTAATAACCAAATAGGAAAATAACAACAATCTCTAAGTGGCAAAACAAGTACTACATATCTTTTAAAAAGAAAAATCTGTTATTTATTTCATGAAAAATTTAGTTATTCAGTACTGAAATTATGTTCCAAATGCTTTTTTTAAGGTTGCAGTCAATAAGTAATAGGTCTGTGTGTGTGTGTATGTATATACAGTGCTTTTAGCTTTGTGAGAAATAACGTTCTAAATAATACAGTTTTCAAAGTAGAAAATTGATATTTACAGTTTAATTAGCTAAATGGTAGTTTTGCTTTGTAAACAGTTCACGATTTTGTTCTTTCTCATCCAAATTCTAGAAGGTGGAACTTTCTAACCCTTGATATCATTAGCTGTATTTTGTTCTTCTGGAGTTTAGGCTTCCACTGCTTTCACTAAAACACCCCGTGTCAAAGTTGCATGTGACTGCAGTTGAGCTCTATTTATAGGCTGTGGCTGCCTGAATTATACCTGTCGCTCAGAGGAGTCTTTGCAGCCACAAATATAAATTCTGCTAGATCAGACAGAGCTGGTTCCCTGCCTGCCGTGCAACAGTCATACGCACAACAGTGTCTTTAAGGTGTGAACAGCTAAAATTAAAGTAGATTCGTGTAATGCTGCCAGGGAAGGTGTTGCCAGATCTGGCTTATGAAACGTGGCAGCGTGTCAGGAGCATTGGCATGATCAGCTGGCCGGTTCCTGCTCTTGCAGGAAGAGTTTTCCCCATGGAAATTTTCCCCTATGGGAAAAGAGTTTTCCCTGTAGTTTTCCCTGTGTTCTCCCTGGCAAGAAGAAGGGTGGAATTTCTCAGCTAGGATTGGCTGAGAAAGGAAAATGTGCAACTGGAAAAGAAACTAAAGCAAGTGTGGGGGAAAACTGAGCATAGGGAGGGGAGAATGGAGTAGGTGTGGGGCAAGATGCAAGAGAAGACACTTGTGGGGCTGAGAAAAGAAACCCACTGCCAGCTGGCAGTCACACTACGTGAGAAGAGTCAGAAGCCAAATGGCTGAGTAAAACGTCAGTAGTCGGACAAGGAAGAAAGCAAATGGGAAAGGTGGGAGTAAATGGAGGCGGGGGGTAAGGGTCTGGAATGATGAGGTGGGAGAGTAGGATGTGATAGCCCAGTGATAACTGCTTGTGTGAAATCTGCCCGGGTGTGTGTGCTTTCCAGCAGAACTCAAAGTGCAGGACCTAGGTGTTTACACCACAAAAATAACCTCTTTCTGAGGAATCCATAGGAGCAAACATTATCCCCTAAAGCTGGAGGCTTAAGTTAGTATTAAATGAGTGGCAGAAGTCTATTCAGTGCATCTAACAGCTACAGTCCTGCTGAGTGCCAGGGGCCTCAAGTTTGATAGGATTTTTTGCTTCTTTCCTTTTATTTTTATTTTAAATAAAAGTAAAGACCTACCCAACAATATTAAAGAAACAATATAAATCTTTCAAAGTAGGACTTTGAAGGGGAGGGATAAAAAGGAGCATACACCAAAGCCAAGTTTTTGTTTTGCAGATGCTATCAGTCTCATGTGCCAGTGCAGTTTTAATTGATGCTATTTTAATTTCCCAGCCATGTGATGTTTCCCTAGAATCTCTACCCTATTTAGTCCCTACGACAGATATACTGCGGGGCAGCTCAGGCTGTGTAAGAAGAGTGTCCTGATGTAATATGGGGGAGCAGATAAATCCCTTCAACCTTGCACTGCCCCTGGCTGTTTTCTCCCTTGCCCTGTGCTCAACCCCACAGCCTGCAGACGGTGTCAGTTGTTCAGTGCAGCTTTCAAATCAGGCACGTGCTGTCCATAGCCTGTTATTGGAGTTCCCAGCCTTACACCATCACAACACTGGTTTTGTATATGCAAACTCTGCTATACCTTCAATTTCTGACATGCAAAATGAGGGTGGTATTTCCCTTTCACTGCAGTAGCACTGTCAGTTGCAAAAAAAAATTAACTGTCCTTAGGTTGCACTGAGCAATGAATGAAGAAACTGAAGTTTGTTTCCTGATCTATTCTAAAGTGAAATATTTGAAAGGTARAGCATGCAAAAAAGCTATGCATTGAGCCGAAGAGAGGAAAAGTATATATGATAGCACATTTAATCAAACCCTTTTGACCTTGTCCTTTTCTGTGCAAGGTAGGAATCTTGAGGAAAACTGCAGTGCAATGTTGCTCTTCTCTCAGCCTCTGCATCCACAGAGTTTGAGCAATGTAAGCATAGCAGTGCTGTCCGTAGTGATGCTAGTTACCTGGCTTTTGATATTTTCTAATTCTCAAGGTCAGTTTTGAAAGGTTATTTAAATAGACAAAAATATATATTTTAATCATTATGTGATTTGTTTGTATGTTGTAATGAATGGCTTTTAATTAATGTGCTGCTTTAGTTGCATCTGTCTTATATTTTTCTGTTTTTACATGCTTAGCACGCCCAGTTTAGGGAATCTAGGAGTCTGTTTGATGAAATATTCCTCAGTCCTTCAGAGGTACGGTATAGTTCTCTCTAGTTTAGACTTTAACTGTGGCTTTTTCTGTTGGCAAGCAAATGCTGCTGGGGCTCTTCATGGTTTCACTCCCCCTTCCCTGCAACCATTGACTTCTCAGTGTTGTTTTATGTGCTGAAAGTAAATTGACGATTTTTCCACTCATTTTGACCCTGTTCTGGGGGATATATTTCACAGTATTGGTATCAGTTCAGTTCCCCAAGGAGGTTCTGAAGACTCTGCTCCTTTCCTTGGTGAAAGGTGGTCCTCTCACTAGAGACCTTGCTGAGTTCCAGTCTGAAGGAACTTAAAAAGCCTTGGGGAAGAAAGGACCCTCTTTTTATAGAATAACAGCAGAATTGTAGTTCCAGAGAAGTTAATAGGTTCAGCTGAAGTGCATGTTGTGTGCAGTGTGTGTTTTGCTCAGAGAAGTTACTGTGTGATGTACAGTTATATTGATCCTGTTGTTTTGCTGTTTGCTCCTTTCCCTGGTCATAGGAAGAGTAAGTACACAGATTTCGTAACACATTTAGCACACAGTTGTCCACAATCCTTAATACAGTTTACCACCAAAAATCAATGTAAGATTTTGAAACAATGTTGCATATTTTAGCAATTTCCAGGTGTGGTTGTATTCAAATAATTATTCTAATTGAGAACAATATTATTAATATCTAATAGAGTTATTACTGTGAAGTTGCATTTAATTCTGAGTAGCCACTGAAAAGTCAGTCATTTTATGTAGTCCCTTAAAATGTGGCCAAAAAGGTACCAAACTGTTATATGTAAAGAAGAAGAAAATGGGATAGTTGATACTAAATAGCTCGGGATGAATCTTGTCCTGGGGAGGAATGGATGACATGTGTGGAGCACAACTAGTGCCACTGTTGGGATCTTCCATCTGTGGCACCGGGATCAGGAAACCATGTAGTGTTAAATGGTGGCTGTCTCTTATAAACTTAATTTGAATGAGATTTCAAGCTAGAGAACCATATTTCATCATTCCTGAAGTTTCTGATGGATTTATTATCCCAGTGCTTGATGACAGGAGGAGGGTCTTGATTTAATAACCCTCCTTTGACATGGAGGGTGCTTAAATTAGAGGCTGTTGACACCTACTAGGCAAGCGGCTCCTCACAGGGGTTTGTGTGTTCCAGAGTTATATATTGACTTGTTTCTCACATGGGCAAGTCTTAGCCCTGTGCCCCTAGAAAAACTTGCTGAACTTGTTACTGTGATTGAGGAAAAACGTTGCTTTTCGGAAGGAACGTTTTGGATAAAGAGTGGCTCCCTAATAGATACATAAATACCAGTATCACATGCAGTAGTTACTAGTTAGTTAAAAACATGGCGGGGGAAAATGC